GTGTTTTGCCCTTGTTCTTTAAATCTGAGGCCTTGGGAATAAGGTTAAAATGCTTTAGGGCTCTATTTCCTCCCTTGGAAAGGCCTTCACTTTATTAACCTTGGGCATGTGGCTTATGGCTGTGCCTATGCCTAAAACGGCAGTTCGGACGTCGTTGTTTCTTGTTAGTATGTGCTTCAGGCATAGCGATTGAGCTGTTAAGTCGAGCTTGATGATTTTTCATCAACAACTATTTTGGTTTTTAGCAAGAATTCAAACATAAATGAAATCCGAAAACTTAGCAAACTTATGTATCTTATATGGTTGCTGCAAGACAAAATTGCTGGCATTGAACTAAAGCCCACATGGGGCTAGAAAACAAAAACAAATAAGGCCCAAGCTTAAAAATAGGCTGAGACAGTGGTGAGTCGAGCTAGTAGGAAGGCAGCAGGCTTTCTACTAATGTTGGGCAACATGAAGTAGGTCCATAAGAGGAGTAGAAGGCAGAGGCCCACGAAGAGGCAATATGCTACTTCATGATGCAATGGAACACCAAAACCAAAGGCAGGTGCTGCAGGCCATGGGTGACAGAAGCCTAACTGGGCTCTTTAGGTGCAAGTTGAAGGAACTGAAGCCCAGAGTGGGCTTGGGTTCCAATCCAAGGACACCCTAGCATCGCTAGGTGTGATCATTGGGAAAAAAGGTCGGTGTCGCCACTTCAGTCGGTCGTGATCTAGTGGGAACCATGGTTCAATGAGAACCACATATATCGACAAAGAAGGTGATTCTCGATGTATAAAAACCAAAAACCTAGAAAATCAAAATTGGAATTTCGAAAGATCTGATAAGATTTAAAGGAATTTCGGCCATAGCTTGTTGGGTATGACTGCAGTTCATTGTAGACGGCTGGTTTTCATCAAAAACAGGTGAACTATGACAATTTGGGTTTAGCTTCAGGCGAGCCCATGATATTGATAACGATGCCAAAATGGGATCATGTTTCTGGGCTTAGGCTTAGTGGTTGGCTCGGCGACGCTGTTCAAAGCCACTGCTCGCTGGGGTTTATTGGAAACCTAATTTAATATATTTTTTTTTGTTTTCAATTCATAATATCAATTCACATAATAGTAATATTATGAGTATAATGAATGCACAATTTATGCAGAATTTAAAATTCGTAAAACGTAAAGTTGGGTTATATACATTTATGATGAAGGTTCATGCAATCAAAGGCTGAAAAAATATCGAGGTAAACACTGTTGTTTTGGAAGAACCTGTATTGCGTGATGATTATTGCTAAACTAGTTTGTAGTAGAAATTCCTTTTCAGATTCTGTAGCGCAACGTAGTCGCGTGTTGATAACGTGTTGTGGTCTATAATTAACTGAGGGAATTAGAGGGGTGCAGCAACACAGAGAGTGGAGAGATTGTAGAATGCTTAGGGATTTGTTTGCGTGTATTCCTCCCTATGCAGTGCCTTTATTTATAGTAGAAGAAGAGAGAGAATTAACTTGTCCTCCAAGTAAATATAATCTTATAGGGAAAGAATAACTAGAGTAATAGATAATCTAGAAACCAAATCTATATAGGTTTTGCACAATCACAATTAAAGAATATCCTTAACAATTAATGTTTCTATACCAATTTTTTCTTTTTAGATTAAAAAAAATTAAATTCATTAACTTTTGTAATAAAGGTAGATTATGAAAAAAGAAAGTGTAATATAATTAATCTGTGTTATAGGTAGACTATGAACAAAACCTATGATATATGTAGATAAACAATTAAACATATATAATACCTATAAGCTAGATATGAAATCTAACTAAGAGATACAAAAGCATAATATACCTACTAGCAAGACACACTAATCAATGATACAGGTTGATTATAAAAAATAAAAAAAATAATCTATCATATAGATAGATATATACAATTAACTTGGGATATAGATTGATTATAAAAATCTAAAATAAATCTATAAATGAGGTTTAAAGCTGAAAGAAGAAGAACAAGAAACAAGAAAAAAAAAAAGAAAAAGAAAAGAACTAGTTAAAGAGATAATTAGGAAGAAATTAAGTTTTATAGTAAATCTTATCAATAAATAAAGGATTTAGTACCTAAAACCCCTAAACATTTTAGTGTCATTTTAAAATGGTCTCACCCTTTTTAAAAATTCCAAACAAATTCCCAACCTATTAAACATGTCACAACTGTTAAATTAACTAGGGCTTACTTTGTCTCTAAAATCAATAAAAGGTCATGGAAGCATGGTTTCAATCTACAACTGTCACCACCACCCCATTAAGCCATCACCTCCAAATCCAAAGCAAAATCAGCAACTCCACCCCCAGCTCAAGCCGCCAACATCGACAAGCAGGTCAAGAAAGTTGCTGAAATTGTATAGATTTTCATGATGTCACCAACACCATTTTCACTGCCTATAAAGAAGAACTGGAAGCTTTACGAGTAGAGAATCGAGGGATTGAGGAAATCACATAAGCAGAAACAAGCTCCCTGAAATCCTATCTGAATTCTTAACCCTCTTCTTTGTTAGGATATTGCCCTCCTAATGTAATTTCAATTTGTGTCCATTTTCGATTCAATTTAATACCCATTTGATCATTGGGTTATATTATATAATCTGTTTGAAATTTAGATTTTGAGGCAACTAATATTAACATTGACCATGATATACCCAATTGGTAGGTTTAGAATATAATCTCTGTTTAAAAACTTAACTGGGGTTTAACGAATGTGATATTTTCAATAGGTTAGATACTTATTTAGAATGTTTAAAAAGGTTGAGACCAGTATGGTATGACACTAAAAGATTGGGGATTTTTAGGTACTTAACCATAATAAATAATTACAGATAATAAGATAATCCTAAACTTAAAAAATTGGACTTATATTAATAAACTGAACTATTTCTAAAATTTGATAAACATTAGACTTATATCAAGTTCCCTTCTTACAACTAACCAATTATGTTGTTATAATGGATGCTAATTGTTATGCTGAGAAGAACAAATTAGGGTTAAGCCCCATTATATAATCATGTGCGAATTCTTTAAGGGGCATTTAGATCTGACTTAAAAAAATAAACATGATTTAGTTTAAGTTCAGTATTATCTTTTCTCCACTTTTATTATTTTATACTTATTTTATAATTTTTTTAAAATATTAGAGATAAATTACAATTTCTAATTTCATAAAGAGAAATTTTATTTGAACTCATGCAACCTCTTTCTACAGCTTAAATTTTAAATGAGAAGTGTCTTTTTTACCCCATTGCATTATTACCATAAAGTACAAAATGAATTTAACAATAAAACAAAATTATATCAATAAACCCAAAACCCAATAATCAAACTCTTACCATGATACAACCAAAAAACAAGCAAGATCCATGGTGAAAATCGTAGCAAATGAAAGGAAAGCGGAAGAAAATATTTACCTTGCTGGGTACACAGAATCATAGGATAATAGCTGGTAATGACGCTTATGCATAAATCCTTTCTCTTATCCCACGAGTAGGGACTGTCTTCCGTCTGATCTTCGTGAAAATTGAAGGCCATCACCGTCAAAGAAACACTCATTTTTTGGTTCTTCAGGTGCACATCTTAGCTTGCTCTTTTATTTGTTACATGATCAATATTTGTTGTTGCATCATGCTCCACGAAAAAGAAAGGAGCAGATAAGGTTTCCTTTGCTTACTCCATTCTTGTAAGCTTAGGGGAGCAGATTCTAAGAGATGACGAAGCTCCAATATTAAATGAAGAGGAGAAAGCGAGAGGAGAGAGGGAGAGATGGAGACTTCGCCGTCACCGCAATCAGAAAACTCGGAAAGAACCCAAATTCAATAAGTTAATATCATGGGTGTAAAGATAAATTTACATATTGAATTGAGTTTGTGAGGGTAGTTTAGGTAATAAATTTGGGTTTAAAAAGATATTGATAGTCTAATTAAAAATAATATGGGTCTAGTGAGTAAGCTGGGTGTAGAGATAGGTTACATGGGTTCAAATAAAATTTTTCTTTCATAAATCTTTTGATTCCAATAAATCTACTTAATATCTTTTAACAAAAAAACCTAAGTATATTAACACAAATCCATCTGCAGAACATGCTATCCTAACTCAAGTTACAAATATATGAATGTATATTATATCTATAAGAGAGATATAAAACCTAACTAAAAGTTATGAAAAAATTATATACCAACAAGCAAGACGCATTAATATGTCAAAAGGGTAGATAAATACAATTAACATATGATATAGATTGATTATAAAAAATAAAAATAAAATCTATAATTGGAGTTTAGAGCAGGAAGAAGAACAAGAAATAACAAAAAAAAAAAGTAGAAATAATTAAAGAGATATTTAGGAAGAAATTTAATTTGTATAATAAATCTTATCATTAATGATAATTATTGAAAAGAAACTAATCCTAAACTTGGATTGGACTTATTTTAATAAACCGAACCATTCTTAACATTGGCTCAATTGGACTTATATCAAATTTTCCCTTATAATTTTCTAAGAAGTTATAGGAAGTAATTTTCAAACTCACTTTTAATCCTCATGCACTTCTCCATTCTTTTAGTCTGATTGAGTCAATCACAAAAATGCTACTCTTACCCTATATTTGTACCATCATTTGTACCATCTCTATTAAAGAGATATGACCCACATGTGTTGATAGGTCCTACCTCTATTAAAAAGATGATATAAATAGTGGTAAACGAAGCATTGCTCGTCAATCAAAGCAAAATCAACAATAAGAAATAAACTGAAGAATGCATAAGGACATAATGGATTTGTCAACCTCTTTTTAAGAATGTTAATCATGTCCAAATTTACCAATTGCCCTTATTCTATTAAACGAGAAGGTTTAATTGTCATATTAGGGAGTGTTTGTTTGGCTACCTTAAGTTTCACTAGACTGGACTATTTGGGTAGGATTATTATTCTGTGTTTGGTGCAAGCTGGGATTAAGTTTAATGGGATTAAGCCAGACACGTGTTGACTAAATCCTTCGTTAGCTGGGCTTAGCGAGAGCCTTAGGAAATGAGGGGATTGCTAGTCCCATTTCCCCGCTTCCCCTCGCTTCGCCTCGCCCTAAACCTGAGAACTTGCCCTCTTGCTGTGTCTCTCCCCACCTCCCTCTCGTCTGTCCAAAAGATCTCCAAGTCTGCAAGAATTTCCAGGTCTGCAAGAACCCACAAGTCTGCACCTGGGTTTGACAGAAACAATTCAAACAAATCTAAAAAGGCCAAGTTTGCAAGACTGATTTGCAAGTATTTTTCCTTTTTCTGGGTTTTCGAATTGATTTTTCAGGCTTTTTAAATCGATTTTTTTTGGGATTGGATTTTTCTAGGTTTCAATTTGTTTTTTTTGGGATTCGGTTTTCCTTCTGAGTGGAATCCCTAATTGGGTTTCTGAATTTTGAACAGGATTACTCTGCGTTTTGTCTCAAAGGATTACAACTACAGAGGATTTCAAAGTATTTGATGGAAGGTCAAGAAGGAATTTGTTGTTGTTATTGAAGAGCTATTCGGCTACAAATCTTCAAATAACTACTTGAGCAGAAAATAAATAGAGGGCTTATGAAGGAGATGAACTCTCATATATCAGGAAAATGATTATGTGAATTGGGTTGGATTTGTGAGTTGTATCTGAAATACCAAATTGAAGGATTTGATTTTTATGGGATATTAGAGCTTTTGAGCAATTTGGAGTGGTTGAACAAATTGAATGATTTCAATAGTTTTGCTTTTTCTGGGATAGCAAATTGCTGGATTTCATTTAGTTCTACTTTTTCTGGGATAGCAAATTGAAGAATTTGGTTAATTCTGCAGAAACTTTCATGTTGAGGTTCACTTTCATTAGATGAGAATATTTTGTTACAGATCATGGTTTTTTTTTTTTTTTGTTGTCATTATTTTGCTCCTAATCCGACATTGTATCAAACACTTCATTAAGTTAGTCGAGCTTGATCTAAACTAAGACAGTCCAACTTAGTCCTTGAAGCTAGTCCAATCCGAGATAGTCCGGTGCAACAAACGCACCCTTAGGGTTTTAGGGTTTAGGATTCGTCCAACCCCTTCTTCTCAACTGCTCAACATATGCTTTGCATTTAGGCATGTACCAGGTTATTTGATTAAACTGGATATCCAATTTGAAATTGTATTGTTCAATTTTAATGTTTTTTTTTTAATATATACTAAAAGAATGTCTTGGATCCATCATTGTGTAACAAAGTCGTTCATGTATTATTTGATCGCAAGATTGTTACGTTGGTTATCATAATTTATACGTTCAAATCAATCATACGTACTTGAAGATAGGCCTTACGTTAGAAAGATACGCCAGTTAGATGTCAACATCATCAACCCAACAACCCAACAACCCAACAAGGCAACAATGTTGTAATTCGACGAGTTCACTTAAATACATGGTTATGAGGACCCCATCATATATACTTGATGCAACTACATAAATTGTGAGAATTAATATATAATCCTATATAATCTTTTTGAAGAAGTGTGATATATCCTTGGATAAATGACATTAGATATGAAAAATTGCAATAAAGCATAACCAAACCAAAATAATGAGTAATACTTCAAACACTTTGTTGAAAATTCAGTTCACCGGAAATGACAATATTAAAAGGATCACTAAAATTGCTAAATCTCGTGTTACATGGAGATCACATGAGAACAAAACTTTAAAATATTCATATTGGAATATGGAGTGCGATACCCATTGGTCTAATCACATCATCTAATCATTGTCATGACTCCAGGACACCAAGTGAAATAAATCAACAAATCAAAGCGTCTCCATTGTGACACACATAGGTTTGGAAGAGATTCAACATGCTAACACAAAAACTGAAATGAAAGAACTCTCCTATAGAGAAAATCCAAAACTAGTTGAAAATCATCAAACAAAATTAAACTAAAAGAACAAAAAATAGTGTAGCCACTCCACATCCTCCCAGTATTTGAAATATAGTCATAGAGTCGACCGGCTAAACTCAAACCTAATACAATTCGACAACTTGTATGCCTTGAAACTCCTATTAATCCCAAATGTACTGCAAAGTGGTTGTGTGTGTGAGTCAAAAGATGACGACTACAACGTTTTAAGGTGACAATTCCCTACCATAAACGCAAGAGGAATGAGAAAGAGAGAAGAGACCAAAATAATTCCGGAAGAAGGAATACGATTGAACCTACGGCCAATGTCGAGCCCCGCATACAAAATTTTCTTTGAAGTTGACACATTTGCTCAATCGGTTTGAGAGATAAGTAGTGTATCTTTCTTTCCATTTTTCATCTTAATGTCGATTGTCATAAGTTTTTGGCATAAATTAGCATCTTAACTCCTGAATTATGGCCAACCAGTAGGGTTGGGCACGGTTCGGTTTGACACCAAAAATATAATCGAACCAATTAGCATTTAATTAGTGGTTCTGTTGAATACGGTTTTGATCAAATATCACCATTGAAACTGAGCCAAATCAAATCATTGTTAATCGGTTTGTTCGGTTGGTTTAAGCCTATTCTAACACATAAATAAATAAAGTCCAATCATTTCAAGAATTTTAATCTTCCAAACATTCACACGTCTCACATTCCCAATTCGATCAAAAGATTACGTTTTTCAAAACATAAAATTTTTATCAAGTCAAATAGAACCAAGTTTCAATTAAATGAAATATCGTACTAGCAAGCTGTTGATGCACAAAATCAGTGAGGACTTTGGTACAACAGAAAGTGTTAAGTTTGTGACCTTCGCTAGATTGCTCCGGTCACTAGTGTGGATAAGTATGTAAGTGGATAGAGACAGGGAAGCAAACACAAGATGTACGTGGTTCACCCAGATTGGCTACGTCTACGGAGTAGAGGAGTTCTCATTAATTGTGAAGGGTTTACACAAGTACATAGGTTCAAGCTATCCTTTTGTGAGTACTAGTGAATGATATAGTACAAATGACATTAGGAAATATGTGAGAGAATGATCTCTCTATTTATAGAAGAGAGTTTCTAGTTTCATTTTGACATTGAAACGTGTCGTGTTGTGATTAACTTCTGATGTTGACACGTGTCGCGCTATGATTGGCTTCTGATGTCGACACGTGTCGTGCTATGATTGGCCTCCTAGTTGAAGGGAAACTCTTCTGGGTCATTGACGGTATAACGTTGTACTTAGTAGTTTCGGGATTGGTCAAGTATGGTACAAACAGTGCTCCCTTAAGTTCCTGAGTGAGGTAAACTCCTCGGTTGGGGACTTGCAAGATCCAAGCTGCGGAGTAATCACGAAACTTCAAAGTACCGAAGTGTGGTACCGTCTTCACTTGCCTTATCTGTCTTATAGGTATATATGGCATTTTCTTTGAAAGTACTCTTCCTCCATCCAGGGTTGGTATCTTTAACCGGTGGAGATGCACAAGGTAATGTATCAATTTCACTTGAAGCTTATTTGTAGTTTCAGGCTTGGTCAAGCGCGATACAAACCATTTAGTAGGAGTCCTCCAAGTCGCCGAGCTAGGAGATCTGACGAAAAAAGTGACAGACAAGGTAAGCAATCAGAGCTCCAAGCAATCAGTCCTAAATCAGAAGTTTGATTTCAAGTTCTGGTTGATTGTTCTCATTCTCCCTATCTTGTAGGCAGCAAGAAGGATAAAGAGAAGAAAAAGGAGAAGAGATGATATGAGATACTTTTGCTTTTGAAGAAGTAACTTTCCACAGGCTTATTCTTGAACTGGGATGAAAGGTTTTCTAATTTCCTCCAGAGTATAAGGTCGACTTAAGAATTTGAGGGTCAAAACAAGTCCATCAAATCTAGCGTACGTTCGACCCTGATGATATGGGATACTTTTGCTGTTGACAAAGTAGTGGATGTATTGGCACGTGTTCTGTTACGCTTGTCTTCACATGCTTCCTTGTATCCTTCTCACTTGCTTTATCTGTTCCTCAGGGAGATGTGGTATCTTCTCTGGAAGCATAAGATGTTGAAGATGAGTACTCGAGAGCAATGCCAGGTAAGTAATCAAGCAAGGGGTTCCAAGCAGTCAGTTCCTGACTGGAAGCTTGATTCTAAGTGCTGACTGATTGCTCTCTTTTTCCTTGTCTTGCATGTAAGAACAAAGCCAAAGGAAAAGACAGGGAAAAAGCATGATATGGAATACTCTTGCTTTTAACCCTGATGATATAAGATACTCTTGCTCTGGTATGGCTTGTTTGCAGAGGTATTATTGGGGGAAAAGAAGCTGAGTATTTTGAGAGACTCTGCTGAGAGTGCCCTCTCGGATGTGAAGAAACGTTGATCATATTTTTTTATTTGCAAGTCTGCCTGGCTGTGGAGGATGAAGGTTGACATTTATAAGAATTGTCTCAACAGCGAGTGGTAACGATGTTCCTTTACCCTTCTCAGTCATAGCAATGTAGTGGGAGCTGTAAGATTCACGTGTTTTAACTTTGTCAGAGCACTTTGAAAAAGTGGTTTGTGGTAACTGGAAAGCTGATGTTGCGTGTAAAGATTGCAGACAAGCTTTATCCAAGGAAATCTAGCTCTCGAAGTTCGGAGAGCGGTGCCTCTTCGGTTTTTGAACAAGCAATCCTGTCGGGGATATGGCTCTCGAGATTCAGAGAACGGTGCCTCTTCAATTTTTGAGAAAGCAATCCTATTGGGAGTCTGGCTCTTGAGATTCGAAGAGCAGTGCCTCTTCGATTTTTGAGCAAGTAATCCTGTTGGGAGTCTGGCTCTCGAGATTCGAAGAGATGTGCCTCTTTGATTTTTGAACAAGTAATCCTGTTGGGAGTCTGGCTCTCAAGATTCGAAGGGCGGTGCTTCTTCGATTTTTGAGCAAGTAATCTTGTTAGGAGTCTAGTTCTTGAGATTTGGATAGTTGTGCCTCTTTGATTTTTGAGCAAGCAATCTTGTTAGGAGTGTTTTCTCGAATGTGAGTAAAGGTTGGGCATTTTTTCCATTCTGCCTTGCCACAGAGCACAGAGGTTGACACACATAGGGATTTTCCAGTTATTAAGCAGTGGTGTTGTTCCTTTACCCTAGTAGGTAATAGTAGGGTAGCTGGACCTTCAAAATTTATATGTCTAAACTTTGTCAGAGATCTTTGGCAAAGTTATATGTGGTACCCGAGAAGCTGATGTTGCGTGTGGGGATTGTCGACATATTTTGCTCAGGAAAATCTGCTTCTCGAAATCCGAAGAGTGGTGCCTCTTCGATTTTTGAACCAACGGCCATGTTGCCCTTTTTTTATAGGGGGACCAATTATATGCAAGAAGTACGTTCAGAAAGTTATTGCTTGTAGGAATTTTCCCCTTATTTTTTTACTTCAAAGATTTATTGCACCTCATTTTCCTTCATCATTTCTGAGAATGTCTGGCCCATTCAACCGTCGTTTTGACTTGAACTTTGGTGAAGAGGCAACCATGCCCTCTCAAGACAACATATAGCGCCCATCCTTTTTATCCTCTACTGGTCCTCTTACCGTTGGGGACTCTGTGATGAAGAATGATATGACAGCTGCGGTGGTGGCCAGGAACCTTCTCACTCCCAAAGATAATAGACTACTTTCCAAACGGTCTGATGAGTTGGCTGTTAAGGATTCTCTAGCTCTTAGTGTTCAGTGTGCAGGTTCTGTATCTAATATGGCCCAACGCCTATTTGCTCGAACCCGCCAAGTTGAATCATTGGCGGCTAAAGTGATAAGTCTCAAACAGGAGATCAGAGGGCTCAAGCATGAGAATAAACAGTTGC